GGAGCTTCTGAACTCAATATTTGAATTCCTACTTTATTTCTTTCGATGATTCAATACGAATTCTGAGATGAATACTTATTGTATCCTAAAGATGAATTCGTGGGTTAGTTTGTTGACTATGGAAAATTATTCTGATATTTGTGGCAATAAAGTAAACTATTTCGTGTAAACTAGGAAAGGCAATTGTTGGGCGGAAAACCACTGTACGTCTTGGTGGAGCCTCGTCAATAGAGACTCGATCACTGGTACCTCTTCATTACTCTGTTTTCAGTTGTTTAATTATTTGTTGGCCGATAGTATCTATTTTTTTCCGGTTCGCAATAATACGGTCTTGCTAATATGGCTTTTGAATGCTTTTCCCTTATAACGTTCGAGCAATGTACTGTACTTCGATTATGTAAAAAGACATTTTGCCCAAATAGCTTGATTCCTTTTGTTACTATTATCACTCCAAGTAAACATCGTGCTATAGAAGGTTCAACTGTTTCAGCCTTGAAGGGAAAAGTAAACACAATTGTTCCTTGAATAGGCTTCTCAATCTCTGTGTTTATCTACATTCTGACTTTATGAATTGCATTTTCTCTTTTCGCTCAGCTGGAGGAGAAATTGTCAATGGAAACATCGAAAATTTGACGTAGAAACTGAGAGGCTCGCGAGTTGGTGTAAAAAATGGCAACTGAAATTCTCGAACCTGTGTTAGATGCGTTGCGACTAGACAAATTAATCAATCCCTACTGGTAAAAAAAATAATAAAAATCTTGGCATTTTTCTAGTNTAGATTAATGTTATCCATGGTGAATAAATTTGTTTGCTACAAATGTAAGAGATTGTACAATAATGAAGTTTGGGGTCACATGGGGTCATTTTTACATGATAATAAGTTGATAAAATAAAAAATTAGTAAATAAAAATCTATTACAAGTAATTGTATAAAGTTGCTTACTGATTAAACAAAACAAGCAGCAATGATAAATAACCGTGAAGCATCATATTTGATATGGATGTCAGAATTAGGGATGGGATTTTAGAACTGAAAACCGGAGAAACAAGTCAAACCGACCTGAACAGAAAAAAAACCTGATTTGGTTATCTACTAAGGTTTTGTTAATTTTTTGGTTCTGTTCCTATTATAAAAAAAGAGTTCCTAGTTTTTCGGTTGTTGAAAAAAACAAAAAAGACAAAGGCTATGTTTGGATAACAGCGTTTTGACCAAAAATTAGCTGTTTGCACATTTTAGCTTATTTGACTTTTAGGATCAGCTAAAAGTGATGTTTGGTTAATAGTTTTTCTTTGTAGCTTTTTTGCTCAAAAAGCTAAAATTCTAAACGCTATATATTGGAGCGTTTGTGTTTGGCTTTTCAATTTTTTGGTACAAATGAATACTTGTGGGCAAAATTACCCCTAATTTAATGGAAAAATATTGAAAAGAGATGCAAGGGTCTTCTCTTACAAAATGCATATCGAATTCATGTGTGGCATGGGCACAACCTTCACTTGCCACTTGCCTTAGGAAATATTTCTGGGCAATTTGATGGCAAATTTACATTTCCGCAAAATTACAAATAATTAATTGTGTGCTATTTAATGGCAAAATGACTCATTATTTAAATTGCAAAATTTGCAATTTAAAAACAAATTGGATTTATATTCCAACATCAATTCCCAAATTGTATTAAAATAAAATTGAAATTAATTTGGTATCCGAAAAAAAAAAAATAATCAACTGTATGGTATAAGAACAAGTAAAATGTGTTGTTGAAAAAAAATAACTGAAACCCAACTATTTTCATAGTAGAACGGACGCCAACAAATATAGCTCGAACAAGATAAAAGTAAAAGTATTTTTATTTTTTATTAAAATAAAATTAAAATTAATTTAGTTTCCAAAAAATAAATTTAATTGTATGGTAAAAGATTGAGTTAGATATGTTTTCGAACAAAAAAAATACAAGTGAAACCGAGCTATTTTCAATATAGAGCGGACACCAAAAAATATTCTCTGAACAAAATATAAGTAAAAGTATATTGTTTCGGTTAAAATAAAACTTGAACTAATTTGTAACAATGAGATGCAAAATTCATAACAAAATTTCAGTTTGCACAATCACACAATCACATTTCAAGAAGAAAGAGCCAGAATAACATTTGTCTCATTTTCCCTTTAAACATTTGTGCTTGTACTTTTGAACAAATAAAAATTTCTCCATCTTCTATTTAATTTTTACATTAATTAATGTACATATGAAAGCGCAATTTAAAAATATTTAATATCGTAATTAATTTTGTTAATATTAAAATAATAAATAAATATTAGTGTTTTACTTTGTAAATATCTACATAAAAATAAATTTCAAGCATGTTGATGTCCTTTGAGTAATTTTACATGTTAACAACTAAATAAAATAACTAATTTTACCAAACACTTTTTTGCAAACCGCTAACACAATCAGCTGGTCAAAACAGCTAATGCAACCCACTAGTCAAAGCAGCTAATGCAATCCGCTAACAGCTAACAGCTAACCGCTGATTAACAAACAGGGCCAAAGAAAAAACAAAAATCAAGTACCTGGTAATAACCGAGAAACTGCATATACGTATACTATTAAGGGTCAGTTTGGTAGCAATAATGGATTGAGCATGATATAATCATTCTTGATAAAATCAAGGGCTATCCAACAATTTAGTTAGTACATAACCTTGTTTGGTTTAGAATTGAAAATGATATCTTTTAAATTGCAATTACTTTTATACCCTTCATTTAAAATTGAATTTTCAGAATTTGCCCTAAAGTGTTTGCACAAAACACGACCAGAGCTTGTTCAGCTTTTCATCTCTCCTCACCAATCATCGCCAATTGAATGTGTTGGGCACAAAATTAATCTCAATACCTAATCACACAAAAAGACCACAATTCAATAAACCTCTAATTGACATTCTTGTTCCAAAATTAAAAAAACCCTAAATTGAGAATACCACTGTCGTGCTTTTGCACCATAACCAGTTTTATGAGGTAGAAACACACCTTCCTTTGACTTGTCCCAAAACTTCTTGTGCTTTTGCACCACAACCAATTCTACACCATCTTGTCAGACAGTTACATAAAATAGAAGAAATGTCGTGCGTTCTCTTCACGACGAATTGGATGGCAAAAACTTCTAAATCTACAGTCAGATAGGAAAAAAATCTCCTTTTCAAATTGATAGGCGTCAATGAGGGCGGAGGTCTCAACTGGGGATGTGTCGGGGGCGGCGGCGACAGTGGCGAAGGGGTCGGGCGGCGGCTGCAAGGAGGAAGTTTTGGGTGGAGGTCTTGACGGGTATGTTGCGTGGGCAAAGAAAATGAAGAAAGGAAGATGGGATGTTTTAGGTGTTTTACTGATTTGACAGGAAATGATAGCTCATCCCACTACAGTGTCACGATATGGAATAACAAAAAAAAAGAAAAGGAGTCGGGCTTTTGCGGGTTTAACGGGCTATACCAGGGCCAACCAAACAAAATAAACAACTTGATATATTAACAAATGGCAGGATATCAAGTCTAATCCATCCAACCAAACGCACCTTTAGAATAAATGGGCCTGGGTACCTAGCCCAATCATGAAATTCCTATCCATATAGGAGGTCCAAGTGCAATGTTAAAATTTTTGGATAAATTACATATACTACATTTTCGAAACATTTTGCAAAATTAATATCATTTTTAAAAACATTGCACATATACATAAATGATACACTTTTATTGTATATTTACTAATTAATATTTCTTTAAAATTTATATTTAGTTTGATTGTAATTTATTACTCGTTTATATCATCAAATCTCATTATATGGCAAAAAAAAATTTTGTTCATATATCAAATATAAACTATTAATATTAGGCAAATAAACATGAATATCCAAAAAATTCTCAACAAAATGTCCATAGGTGCCGCATCTATGGCCATCCTCCTCTTCCCCCCTTCTGCCAATCAATTCCAATCGTTTTGTGCCGACAATCCCCGCCGCTCAAGCAGACCTTACCAAAACCGCCTTCTGCCATGACCACGACTCTACCGCAATCGAACTCCGATCTGCTAAAGGTGAAGGTTGTTGCTATCACTCGTCCGCCACCGATTTCCGATATATTAAAAACGGCGGTTGTCGCCGCTGGGCCGAACCCTTGAATCGTCTAGGGTCCAGGAACCGCGCCACTCCCAGTCCCTCTCGCTGTCGGTAGTGATTAAAATATCGTACCGTACCGTACCAGCCAGTAATACTTGATACCGGCCATTGGTACGGTATAATTACGCACAAAATACCAGATTTACGGTTATATCGGTTTGTATCGGGATCATACTGTAAATACCGGAAAATATTGATCTAAAATACCTGTCAACAAAAAAAATAAATTATCAATTTAAAAACATAAAATTTAAATTGGTAGTTAGAATGTTTTAATTTTGTCATTGAGAAGTTGAAAGTAATGATTATGGTCATTTATTTTTTTTACTTTTTTGCATTTGGTATTATATATTTTTATATATATTTATTATATTATTATATTTACTAATCCGGTAATACCACCAATATTACCGGTCCAACCGGTAATAGCGCGTACCGGTGGCTAGACCGGTATGACCACGGGTACGGTAATTAAAACACTGACAGTCGGTTGCTAGGTTGCCCTCTGCTGAAGTCGCCGGTCTCCGCACCGTTCAATGAGCCCCGCCGCTAGGATAACAAGCGAATACAAAAGAGAGGAAATTGGGATGAAGGGAGAGAACATGCGAACACAAAAGAGAGGAAATTGGGATGAAGGGAGAGAGGTGAAAGAAAAAGAAAGGGAAATTTGGGAAAAAAATCGAGGGATTTATGAGTACATAACACTGTTCTAAAAATTGGTCTAGGCGGCCGTCTAGGCGCTAGGCGGTGCCCGGGCGCCTCCGATTTGTACAAATCGGCAGAAAAAATCGGCCAGGCGGCTAGCCGGCTCCTAGGCGGGCTCGGCGGCAATTTTTCAAATTTTTTTTTTTTAAATACTAATTACATTATTTTGTTCTCATGTTTTCTTTAATATATATTATATTATTATTTGGACTTTGGTGTGTGAATTTATTATAAGTTGAGATAGTTTTATTTTGTAGGTAGTTAAAATAAATAAAAAATAAGGCATTTAATATTGATCTCTGGACCCTGACTAGGCGCCGCCTAGGCCCCGACTAGGCGCTCTAGGCGCTAGGCGCTGGTCGAGCGTATAACGGGCGCCTAACGACTTTTAGAACACTGGTACATAATGAAGAATAAGAGAAAAAGAGAAGAAAAGAAAATTTGGGTATTGAATCAAATGAAAACCAGTAGAAAGAAAAAAATGAAAGAGAGAGGAGAGAGAAAAGAGAGGGGTTGTGCGTTATGTTAGATTAGAAAGATGTACAAATAAAATTTTCACTAGTATAGAGCCCGTGCGATGCACGGGGTGCACAATTTTAAGGCTATTTATCCAGACTTATAATTATATACATGAATAAAGAAAAATGTACGGGATATATATAGTACGTGACCCGTGCGAAGCACGAGATATATTTATTTGGAGAATATTATATTATAAGATATAATATTAAATAAAAGTTTATAATATGCAAGAAAATTGTACAATGTTCAAAAAGTTTTATAATATTCAAGTGGAGTCTTAAAGTCTCTTGACATTAAGACTACTGACAAAATAATATTTTAATCAATGAGTTTCCTTTTCTTGTAGCCAAATTGTGAATGTGATTTGAGCAGTACAACAAATCGATATATAGCTGACTTGCTTTTTTCATTGTAGTTTTTTTTTTTTATAATGAATTTAAAGATTATCTAAAATATAGCAAAAATTAATTTTTTTTTATTACAATTAGGAATTTAACTAAATATAGACTCTCAATCTATTGTGTTAATCAACATTTGAGTCTAAAAAATTAGAAATTTTTACCTCTTTTAATCAACGTTTAAGTTTAAAAAACAATAGAGTTATTATAAGTTTTTTTCTACATCTTTTAAAACATTAAATATGAGCATGTTATGCTAGCTTGTAAAATAATTAATATATTATCTCACTAAAACATTTATACTAATAAAAATTTAATTTTAGCATATAGATTTATCTCTTGATATAAGATAAAGTAACAGTTTTACTTATTATTGTTAACCATATAATATTTAATCATTATTTTATTATATAATAAAAAAGGAATATTATTAAATAGTGTAGTAGAATTGTTATAAAATTATATGATTTTTTTTTTCACAATATGGATTTAATATTTTCTTATGATTTGATAATATAAACAAATCTATACTTAACTTTGACAAATAAAACAAATAAATACTTTAGTAAGTACTTAATGTATATACTAAATAGGAATATATTTGGTATAATCAAATACCAAATATAATCAAATAAGTCAAAGTGTACATTTTTGTTTGGTATTTGATTTTTTTATTATTAAATTTTTTTTGTTATACTTACCTTTTTAAAATAAAATAAATAAATAAATCAATTAAATAAATAAAATATTATAATACGAAAATAGTAATGGTATTTAATGCAGTTGACTTTTCTGGATATTAAATGTAGTAAATAGAATCTCCGTATAGATATAATATTATATTATGTTGCTCAAAATAGTAATGCATTTATTGCATTGACTTTTCAACTTACTAAATTTCGTAAATGGTACACCTTATTATATAAGTATAGATTATTTAACAAAAACAATCAGTTCAGTATGTATGTAAGTTGACCAAAATTACTTTTCTACAAAATTGAAAGCCCATTTTTTTAATACTAGAATAATTAAATAAAATTTGCAAATAAATCAATTATGTAAATAAACTTTCATCATAGTCAAGCTTATAAAAAAAATCAAAATAAAATTTTGTAAATAATTTGTTTTTTATTACATATTTTAATTATTAACTAAAGTAATATTTTAGTTATATATTTCCAAAATTCAAAATTTTCAAAATTTTTGAACATTTAAATTATTTTTTTTTTAAAATTTTGGCACAAACTTGTACAAAAATGACTTATTAAGATAATTTTACTAAAAATATTTAATATTTTTTTCTATATATGTTTACAATATAATATTTTAGTTCTTATATTTACGTTAAACGAAAATAGTTGAGGCTTTCAATGCATAACTAAAACAAAAAGTGAGGCTCGATTGACAGTAACATAAAATAGATAATTTCAATTGAATAATATTAGAATTTAAAATCTAATTTAATACAGTTCAAATAAAATTTGAGTCTGTTAACGAAAAATTACCCCTTGTTTTATACCAAAATTAGAAAGTTCGATGAAATTCACAAATTAAAAAATCATTTTTTATTTGGCAATTAACCTTAAGAATTTGTTTGATTTTTCAAATAGAAGCCTAGATTGATTTGGGCTTCGACAAGTTTAGCCAAGCCCGTATCTAAATAAAAAAAATAAAAAAATCAGGCCCATTTATCGTACGAGATTGGATTTATTATTATGTCATCGATCAACAGATTGTATATTCGAAGTCGCAACGCCCGTAGCCCTCTCTCCGCGACTGAACAAGAAAACTCATCGGAACCCTAATTTGAACCCCCAATCGCTCTAGTTGTAATCACCGGAGATCAGCGAAAATGGTGCTCGCGCAGTTAGGGGGTACCATCACGCGTGCTCTTCAGCAGATGAGCAATGCGACCATCATCGACGAGAAGGTGCTGAATGATTGCCTCAACGAGATCACGCGAGCTCTCCTCCAAGCCGATGTGCAGTTCAAGCTCGTCGCCGATATGAAGAACAACATCAAGAGGATCGTCAACCTCGATGATCTCGCCGCTGGCCACAATAAGCGCAGAATAATCCAACAGGTGAGCGGAGAAAAGCTCCCTTTTATGTTTGTCCTCCTTTTGGTCCATATCTGTTAAATTAGCTTGAAGTTCTATGCAGCAGGTGGTAATGGCATGTCATCTACTTAAATGTGGGTGAAATTTTAGTCCGAGGAGTTTCATTTGAAAGTATAGTAGTTGTTGTAAAGCTTTGGTGTTGATATTTTTCATGAAAATTACAATATCGTATCTTCGTGGGAATTGGTGGGGTGGGTGATTGGGAGAAATACGGGAAATTCGTGTTGGTGTATATTGTTGTTTGTGCTATAATGATTGTCATCTTAGAAAGTGAAGGTTGATTCATGCGTTGATCTGATTTTAATTTTTCTGTTCATTCCTAAGATGGACGACATTTAGTATATATAAATTATACTGATATTTGACTGGTAAGCTGAAATTTCTGTTATATGTGATGTGTGATGGCTCAGATATTAACTTAAGCTGTTGTTTTTGCCTTGCCCATCATTTTTTTGAATCACATAGTAGTTAGAGTAAAGATATAACTTTAGGAACTTATTATGATTTGTTTTTTGACTTGTCCTTTCATTTGTACTAGATATAAGGCATTTCAGTTGTCGAAGTGGCAATATATGTAGTCTGTAACAAAGGCATACAGATAAGACATGCAAAATCACTCTTATTTGTGTATCTGCCTATGTAAGTTTAGTCACCCTGTGTGATTGTCTTGATTACACTGCTGTGTTTGGGTGCACATCAAGCAGTGACTTTATTACAAGTTT